ACGATGACGACGTAGCAATGAACCACTTTTTCCAGTGCGAAGGGAGAGCTTTGAAGTTGTTGCATGGCAAGGGTTGGCAAAGTAGGTTGACCGACTTCTGGCAATAAATTTTCGTTCTGCTGTCCGTATCACTGTTTTTATGTCTCATACTCGCGGCAACAAAATTCTCGCGAAAACGAAATTTTTTGGTTTCCCCGGCGATTTCGTTATTGCGGGTTTCGACTGTATGCATAGTAAGCTTGTGTCAGTAGTCCTGCACCTTGATTATTTTAATGAATGTTGTAGTATTAGAATTCACTTCGGCAAGAATTAAGAATTTCGGAAATTTTAAAGCATTTGAAGTGAATGAATAACCATGCCTCACTACAGGAGTCGGCAACTTTTGAAGGAGAGGGCCGAGTTGCTTGAAGACTACATGTCGGGGGCAGCACTGCCCACTGGAGGGATGGAGGGTCTTTGCAGGCAAAGGGGAAAAAAAAATGGGCTAAGTATATATTCAAGGTTACGTGAAAAGGGGGAAAAAAATTACGTTTATTTTAAGCACGCATGTCGCAATATTGCAAAAAACAAACATAGGTTACAAACGAAAAAGCCTATAGGGGTCGAAACTTCCATATTGGTTTTCCGGTAAAAAGCAACGTTGTAAGGGAGGGGTTTCTGACGTCATGCTGGTGACTGCATACGCTCAAACTTTATTATGACGAAGTTGCATCTTACACGAAATCTCAAAATTTGTTGTTCAAGGTTTATTCCCAACACTGTACCTATTGAAAGATTATTTTTCATTTACTTCATTAAAAGCAATATTTTCTGATACCCAGGTTTGCTATATCGAGGTTTATTTATTTATTTATTTATTTAAAAATACCTTACAGGCCCTTGTTGCAGGGCATTGTGTAAGGGGGGTTACAGAGGGTGAGCGTCGCGACAAAACCGTAAGGAAACATCAAACTTTGAAAGAACACAACAAAAAATAACGCGTTATATGTCACTAAAGAGAGAATGTACAAAAAGTCATTTGAAGTTACACATCGGAACATTGCTGGTGGGAGGAGAACAGATATCCGCAATACACTTACTAAAAAACACCTAGTACACACGTAGCCAAAAATATTTTAGAGCAGCGCGCAGAAAGCAATTTGTTCTTGTTTAAGAAATACAGGATAATAAAGGGCGATAAGAGAGTTTTTCCTCGTGTGTATAAGAACATTATAAAGTAGGAAAATGCAGGCGGTCAAAAGTGAAAAAAAAAAAAAAAAAAAGGAGGAAATGGAAAAAGACGAATGAATATAATTACACTGGAACGATACAGGAGGTGCAACAAATTCTTGTAAAAAGGAACCAATTGAAGTGTCTATGACTGAAAGAAAGAGTGAAGAAGTTGTCTGAATTTTTCGGGGTCTGATTGATATGCAATGTCATTCGAGAGATCATTCCACAAGCGGATGACGCGAGGAAGAGCCGATGAGTTAAAGGCGTCCGTTGACCCATATAATCGCGTGAAACTTAAGTTATTATGCAGCCTACGAGATGTAACGCAAGGTTTATCGAGTTGAAATGGGAATGGTTTGTTACTGTAAACATACTTATGGAAGAGGCATAGGAGAGAAGTATCCCGCCGAGTACTCAACAGTTGAAGAGAAAGGCAAAGTTTAATTTCCGTTATGCTGCTATGGTAGTCGTAATTTCGTGAGATAAATCGGGCTGCCCTATTTTGAATAGCTTCAAGCATGTTGATTAAGTAATTTTGGTATGGGGACCAGATCGATGCGGCGAATTCAAGTTGTGGGCGAATGAAGGTCTGATAAGCTAGCTGCCGAACATGGGATGGGCAGCTATGCAAGTTGCGGCGTAAGTAACCCAATGATTTTGAAGCTTTCGCACAAATGGTGGTGATATGGTGTGACCAAGAAAGATTTGGTGTGAAATGAATACCGAGGTACTTGTAGGATGATGCGTACGACAGAGAGTAGTCATCAATTATGTACGAATAACTAGAAATATGTTGCTTGCGTGTAAAACACATAATTTTGCACTTCTGCTTGTTTAGCGACATAAGCCATTTTTTGCACCAGTCATTAATCTTGTTGAGGTCATTTTGCATTGTTAGGTGATCATCGGTACAGGTTATTGAGCGATATATAATGCAATCATCGGCGAAAATTCGCATGCGAGATGAGGTGCTGATAGGCAAATCGTTAATATAAATTAAGAACAGCAGGGGGCCGAGGACGCACCCCTGCGGTACACCTGAGGTTACGTGGGAAAGAGGGGATTGGATATTGTTTATTACCGTGAACTGCTGGCAGAGTGAAAGAAAGTTTTGAAGCCATGATAAAGTGAGCGAATATAATCGGAGTGAAGATAATTTAGAAATGAGACGCTAGTGGGGTACACGATCAAATGCTTTTGAAAAATCGAGAAAAATGCAGTCAGTCTGAAGGTTATTGTTCATGTTGCAATGTAGTTTTGACGTAAATTCCAGCAGCTGAGTTTAGCACGAAAAACCTTTTCTAAATCCATGTTGGTTGATAAAAAAGTAATGGTTAGATTCTAAGTGCCTGAAAACATGAGAAGCGATTATATGTTCCAGGAGTTTGCAACAGATGCACGTGAGAGAGATGGGGCGATAACTTTCGGGTGAATGTTTATCGCCGGCTTTAAACACAGGGACTATTTTACCAATCTTCCAGTCAATGGGAAGCTGGCCTATTGCTAATGATTGTCTGAAAAGGTGATACAGGATATTAACAGAAACAGAAAGGGTGTTTTTCAGAAGTTTGGAATTTATACCGTCAATGCCAGCTGAAGTAGATAGTTTAAGATTAGTGACAAGAAGTGCGGTACCCTCAGGCGTTACTTCAATAGGTTGCATATAATCTATGTTGAGATCGGGAACGTTCGGAACGTCGGCGTGGTCTTCCCGGGTGAAAACGGATAAAAAGAAGGTGTTAAATGCTGAGGTGCAATGACTATCTGAGAGGGGAGCATGGTGATCATCTAGCAAGGAAATCTGTTTAACATCGTGTTCCGCAGATATTTGATTCCAGAATTTTCTAGGATTTGATTTCAGAAGGGAAGGCAAATCATTAGAGAAATACTTTTGTTTAGCTGATTTAATTGTGGAACAGTATATTTTCAAAACATTTTTGTACGCCTCCCATGCAGAGGACGTACCAAGTCGTTTAGCCGCGCGGTATAGACGCTTCTTTTTATTTCTGAGCTGCCGGATGGATTTAGTAAACCAGGGGTTTGTTTTATCATTTTTGACCGAAACAAGTGGAATATACCAGTTTGCCAGTGCGCATAATTTGTCTCTGTATAGCATCCAGTTATCATTGACGTCACGACTGGAAGAGGATGGCAGGAATATGTCATTGTAGAAGGTTTCTAGTTCGGAGTTGATTTTGCTGTAGTTAGCTTTATTGTAATCGCGGATTTTTTTATGTTCAATGCCAGTTGAGTGTATGTAACACTGCAGTGTGAAAAAAGAGGATGTGCCATTAAGCACGTAAGGCAGTTCGTTCCTTGCGCACGTGGTGTTGTATATAGAATACCACTGTCGTGCGGCAAGGCATACATAGGGCAAACTGGTAGATGCCTCAACGTGCGGTTGCGAGAGCACAGCAGCTCTTTAATAGGAAGGCCGTTCACGCATCTGGCGATGCATTGCAGAGGATGCGATCAGGGTAACTGTAAGCCGGTATTTGAGCAGACAACCGTAATCTACAGGCACAGGGGCTCAGCGGAGAGGGAGATTATAGAAGCCCTCTTTATCCAGAGGGAGGGCATGATTGCATCAGCCACCCCTCTATCAGTCTGCAGGAAGGGGAGATAGCCTATCTGCAACGTTACTTATAGGCATGCTGAGCATGTATTTTTAGTTTTTGGTCGATTCGTTGGGTTAAAGTTGACGTCACTGCGGTATAAATGGTGTTTCCTGAATAAAATATTCCAGTTGCTAGTAGCGCGTCGTCTGTGTACTTCTTCTCTGTTGTGTGTCGTTTTTTCGCGCCCCGTATCATCATGAACCAGCACCAACTCGCCCAACTTTTCACTTTACTGTGTAACACTGCCCCGCGAGCTCCGTGCAACCAGTGGGCTGCAGGTTGCCAACCCCTGCTTAAAGGCCTGACCACACGTGCACTTTCCAGCCCGTTAGCACTTGGCTTTTTGATGCGATGCTGCGCCCTCTCCTTATTTAGAGAGAGGGCGTGCAGCTGTTCAAAGCTGCGCTTTCCTCTTCCTCCACAAGGAGAGAACACGGTGCCGCAAAAAGTCAAGCGCTGACGAGCTGGAACGCGCACATGTGGTCAGGCCTGTACTGCACGCAATCCGCCTGAAAACGTAGTTTCACTGCATAGCGCGGCCGCTTTGCCGTGAAACTGCACATAAAGAGAGAATAAACCTTGCCATGAAGCCACACCTTAAGGTGAAGGGAGCGTATTGCCTGCATCCAGATTGATTTCTTTTTTTTCTTTATAAAGTTTAAAAGCATGTGACACGGGCCTATATAGGCTAACAATGGAAAAAAGCTTAAACTTAGCATATTTATTGTATATAATTTGTAGCCTGCAATTCTTTTTGAATTCATTTTAAGATTATTTGAAGCTAAATAAATTATATTTGCTTTAATTGTGCCTTGAACAAAAAAGGGATATTTCCACCAGCTGAGTGCACAATACTGTGCTCACGCATATTTAACGCAAGTTTTTCTAGATTTTCGCAAGCTAAAATTGTCTCTCACACTATATTCAAACACCAAAATTCATGTCCGAAATGTGCTATTATGCACACAGTTTTTTTTATTTTTCTTTCGATTTTTTTCTTGACACAGTGAAAGGTCACCCCTCGTGTTATGATCATGGCCACATTACAATCAAGGAAATACAGTACTATATACATTGTTTTCTGTAAAACAGGAAGCACGGGAAAACTCTAGCGTGCCACACAGTAGGTTCTCTGTTTTACTACTACTGCCTCTTGTGTCGTATGTGCAGGTGTCACGGGTGATGGCGACATCTTCATACCCGACAACATTCGGTATTTCTCCAAAGCAGTCAAACTAGGCACGGACAACCAGGGCGTCCACTTTGTCATGGCGGATGGTGTAAGTGAACACAGCTTTGCAATTCTTTCGTTAAGGTTACAGCACTCTGTTCTGTCTCCTCCTTTTCTTTCCTGCCGTTCTTGCGCTGTGTTTTTCACTACGAATTCTTTTGTGTTATGCATCGCACCGTCCTCGACACCTGCAGAGGGTGGCGAGAATACAGTCAAAGGTTGATTTTCAAGAGCGAAGTTGTTAAGGCTGGCAGTAAGGGGTCCGGTAACAAAGCTGCCACCGCGTCGAGGAGCAACCATTACGACTGTGTACGGGCACACTGGCAAAAAGCATGCCGCGGTGTCTCACCTGGCGGGGTGTGGTACTGCCCGGCAAGACACTGCTGGGTCTTTTCAAACCCAGCAGTGTCTTGGGCCTTTTTTTTTTTAGAGCACAGCTCTTAGGTGTTCGCACCTGCATTGAGTTGCATAGCCATCTTCCTTGCCATCAGTGAGCGTAGCCCATTGATACGAAAACATAAAACGAGAAGATACCCAGGATTGAATGGGATTTGAAACCGAGCCCTCCGCATGGCAATCAAGTATTCAACCACAGAGCTGTGCTGGTGCTCACAACTCATTTTGCGAAAAGATAGACCCTACTCAGGCGTCTTGTCGGGCAAGCAATCGCGTTAAACTATGAAATATAGCTTGGTAGAAGAGCACAATAAAAAAAGGGGGAGTTGCCTTGGCAACAGATAAGTCTTTGGCCAGGCACTGACGCCGCAGGGTACTAGCGTTGCTAGCGTGGCTCTGGCTGCGCGCTGTTCGATATGGCATGTGCGATTCCATGCTTATCAGCTGCGCCTAAAAGTTTCCTGTCTGGTAAAGTGTCGTTGTTAGCGAGCTTGCTACTTAAATCGCGTTTGCTGCCTCGTCCGCAAGTTTAAAAACCTTGTACGGCTGGATCTTTATGTCTTGGATAAACTTCTTGCGACAACATACCAAACGGCACCTTAGGCCTAATCGGCATTCTTGCCGATTAGGCCTTTTCGATAGCGGTCAGTAGCACATTTTGGTAGCGATCGCGTGCTATCTAAGTTGCGGTTTGGTACGTGGAAGGAATAAAACTTTTGTGGTGGCCTTACTTGACGACAAAGAATACATATTGTTAAGGTGGGACACGGGTCTTGGCAACAAAAAAACGCCAAAAAAAAAAAATCGATTTTTCAGTTTAGTGATTTTCGTTATCTTCATATTATCACGCACCTTCCAGCAAAAAATGAACTTGAAATGACGCGTCGTTGAGCCAAAAATTATCGTGTTTATTCATTCCAGCACTTGGTTTCACTTGCGAAATCGCCGAAAACAGCCCTCCTTTGCATTGCTCGGATCGTGCTAACCACTCATCGGATCGCGGCTATCTAGTCTCGTTCGAAAGAGCTTCTATTAAGCTCGCTTTCCCGAGGAACGAACCTTCAATGCTGCAGCCAGTCTGCACTACCAGGCAAAAACAAGCGACAAAACCATGTGGTGTCATCGATCCATAGCAGTCACGCGAGTGAATAGCGGCTTGTGATTGGAGTGCGGGGACTTACAACACTGGTGATCACGCGCGCGTGTTTGCGGCCACGCGCGTTGTCACTGCCGCTTCGGAAGTTTTGTAGTTTTGTGATCCAAATCGAGATGCCGAACCGTGCTCGAAAGTTCCGCACACTTCACAAATTCGGCAAGGGACGGAAAAAATGTGCTGTGCTGCCCAAGGAGTCATCGCATCCAGCACAGGCTACCTCGGCAGAGCTGTGCAAAACAGGAGACGGGCAGCCGCCGGGATGCAGCAGCCCGACACAAAGGCAGCCTTCGATCGCTACAACTTCTACCAGTGGCGACACGCGCTCAGAGTGCGATAAATCATCGCAACTGCTGACGCAGATATCTGCAGATCTCGGCGGAAGAGTGCAACAGATTCTGTGACAAAGCGGCATTGCTACACAAGCGATCGCCACTGCGACCACGGTGCCCTCACAATCACGCTGATTGCGGTGATACTTCAACAAGGCGCCAGGAAACAATGCCGTCGCTTGTGATTAAGACAGCAGAGAATGCTGCTGCAGTAGATCTCGCAGCCGGTGAAAGTGTGGCAGCGACTGCGACCGCTGCCTGCAGTACTTCAAGTATGCGCGATCGAGCTACGAGGATAGACGCGAAATTTTTAACATCGGCTGACCAAGAACTCATCGAGCATCGCGCCCGGCAAAATGCAGCGGAACTTTCGTCGGTCTCGGCAACCGATTGCAAAATGAGTGTTCTCGCGAGTCAATGCGGCACCGAAAGTTTGTCGGCCCTGACGTATACCATGGTTGACCTTGACATGGTGAACAGTTTACTAAACGAACATTCTGCTTGCCGAGTGTGCCGTGGTCAGTTGACCATCAAGCGCGACGCGCGTGAGTATGGCGTAGCCGTTAAGCTGAAGCTTCACTGTAGCAACTGCGGAAAAGTTGGTTCGAAATGGAGCTCGCGACAGGTTGGTGGCAGCAGTAACTGCTACCCGTTCGAAATCAACGTTCGCATGGTACGTGCGGTTCAGAGCACTGGGAATGGTCAGATAGCTCTGAATGACATCTTTGCCCCTATCGGCATTTCACATCGGGGCCTTCACACGAAAACGTACCAAGAGTACTTGAAAGTGAAGCTTCAGCCAGCAGCTACGAGAGCTTGTGCCGAACATTTGACTAAGTGTGTGTGCCGCAGTGGTAAAGTGCCTCTACAAGGACCTCAATTTCGGCAACCCCAGAAATATTGTTGTCCCTTTTGATGGAAGCTGGCACACAAGAGGGCACGCCTCCACATTAGAATAACCACTGTGATAGAAGTTTTTTCAGGTTATGTGGTAGACTATGTTGTGCATTTTAATTTTTGCCTCGGCTGTGAATGTGGTCCAAAACACGAAAGCCCAGAATACTCTGAATGGAAAGATAAACATTCATGCCGGAAAAATACCTCATGCAAGGCTGACCAAATGGAAGTAGAGGCAGCAATGATTTTATTTCAGCACTCCCTTTCGCTTTATGGCCTCAGGTACACCAACATGCTTTGTGATGGTGAGAGCCGGTCGTACAGTGCTGCCAAGAAGCTAAGGTGTACAGCTTCATAAATGTTGAAAAAGAAGACTGCTCGAACCATGTGCAGAAGCGCATGGGGACTGCGCTTCGGAACCTCGTGCAGAAGCACAAAAGGAACAGCAGTGAGTGCATCATTGGCAAGGGCCGCCTCACGGGTGACCTCATCACAAAATTGATGAGTTATTATGGCTGGGCTTTAAAATCCCATTCTGGGAATGTGGATGAGCTGCACAAAGCTGTGTGGGCTACGTATCATTATGTGACATCTACTGATGAGAAACCAAAGCACAGCTTCTGTCTACACGGCCCCGAGTCTTGGTGCAAGCATAATGCAGCCATGGCAAAGAATGAGCTTATCCCAAAAAGCAAGTACAATTTGCCAGAGGCTGTGAGCAATGCACTGCGTCCTGTTTATGAACGCTTGTCCAACAAGAAGCTCCTGCAGAGATGCACCAGATGGAAAACGCGGAATGCGAATGAGGCCTTGCATTTGGTCATTTGGAGCCTCTCACCGAAGGACAAGAACGCGTCATTGTTTGCCGTTGAGACTGCCATGGCAGATGCTGTTATGCATTTCAACTTAGGAAACCAGGAATCTAGTTCGCTTATTTTGTGTAAACTGCAACTAGATCAAAGGTGCACAGGTAACCAGCGGGCGGTTGAGAAAGACTATCGCCGTGCCGTGGGCTCGGAGAGGAAACGTGCATCTTCAGCGGCGTTCCAGGCAGCCGCAAAAAAGAAGCACCAGCAAAAGCCTGCTTCAGACTATTCCGCAGGGGCTTTCTGAGTGATTGTGAATACAAGTGCTGTGGCTTTCATGCATGAAATTTTCATTTTCACAACTTTTTCAGTTTTTTACGTTTTTCTCAAATATAGATTTTTGCATGTTTTGAATTTTGAGATGAGCACTGTGTGGCTAATACTGATTCAATTTTCTTCATCTTTTTTTTTTTTGTTTGAATGCTAGGGTATTGAAGTGTGCCAGAAAACCGTGATAAAATGCTTAAGGACTTTTCCAGAAAACACCAGAAATTTTTTAACTTTTCCAGAAATCACCAGTGAAAACTCAGAGCTAAGAGACTGCGACATAAAAACGTCATAACGTTGGGTAATATTTAGATGCTAGCATGAAATTGCATATTTGCACTATTTGAGTATTCAGCAATAGACAAATTCAATTATGGCTCTTTTGATGCATTACTTTTTATGCAAGTCACATCCCAAATTCATAAAATAAGAACAGTTGTAACTTTTTTTTTGGATTGATGTAAAGAAAATGTCATTACATATTTTTGATCAGTGTACAAAACTGAATATTCCCTGAAAAAATTATGTCTCTAGGCCTAATACTAATATATTTCACTATCGGGTCCCATGTTCCCTCTTAACGAAAATGAGGTTTGCCGTTTGGCACTTTAATGGTGGCTCGCGATTCGATTACAATGTCTCAAAATCGTGTGCGCGCCTGGAAATCGAATGATGGTCATTTTTCAGCATGTGAAATTTCGGACATGGCTTGACATAGTATCTGTGTAATAGGACTATCTGTGTAATAGGCATAATCGAGGTGGTCTTACAAGTAGTTGGCACATTTTCGCAATGGTGCTTTCTTTTGTAAGACCCCCCACCCTTATTGTGTTTGTTTCATTGGCAATGCGTGCCTTAGGATGGTTTTTTTCTTTAATATTTGGAAATTTAAAGGTTGTAAGCACCATGCATCGCATGCTTCAATTCTCTGACAGATGAAGCTGCATGTTCAACATGTTTTGCGGAAGTGCGGCCCTTGAAAAATGTTGTTTTGGCTATAGTGCGGATATTCCCGACTCCTGTGGATTATGTTATAAGCAGCCTATACTGTAAATGTGTAAAATGTTGTAGGCCCATGGGCTCAGATTTGGGTGCACATTAAAGAACCTCAGGTGGTCGAAATTTCCAAAGCCTTCCACTACGGCGTCTTTCATAATAATATGGTGGTTTTGGAACGTTAAACCCCACATATCAATAAACGGTAGATGTGTACCGGATGCCTCGCTTATCCGCAGAAAGACGAATAATGGTGTAGTGGCTGCTGTGCTACCTCACAAAAATAATGTTCCATGGCATAATAGCTACCTTGCGGATAGCCAAAATTTCAAACACATTTGGCCTTTCACCAACACGAAGCTACGCTCATAATACATGTTGACAGTGCGATGATTGTCGATGAGTTTTTTTCTTTTTGTAAAAAGAGCAAGTGAGGAATACTTGCTCCTTTTACACTGACTTTACTTTTTCTTTATTGCAGGGCTTCTCAGTCGAGGGCCAAGAAAATATTCAAGAAATATTGTCTAAACAACTTTACCTGTGCCAATTCTACGCTGCACTGTCTGTTTTAAGAACAGGTTAGAACTGTTTTGTCTATTAACAATATTTTTCCTGTTCTTTGCCTTCAGTTCATGTTTGCCTCTCCTGCACCGTCTTTTATTTAAAAAAAAACTTTTGTGTATTGTATTGATTTGCGCAAATGTTGGATGGCTTATTGATACAGAACGGCATGAACGTAGCCACTGCTGCTCGAGGACGTAACAAACAAGTGTGCGAACTTTTTTTAAATAAGGCGCTTCCCAGATGGCACCTTGCAAGTTCAACTGATGAATAAAAAAGTTCTATATATGCAAAAACACAGCCTCAATCACTTCAGATAAAATAAATATTTAATGATCATATAGTTAAGACTAATTACTATAAACTGTATAAATCAGCGTCTTAGGACATTTTTCTTACAATAGAATATTGAGGGCCTTGATACAGTAAAGCCTTAGTGATACGAACCATGTGGGGTAACGAGAAATAATCATATCATCCAAAATTTTTATCACCAGAAAACATGGAAAATCAGTATGCGAAAAAGGAAAACTGGTGTACGTTTTCAGTGGTTGTTTTTCAGAGCCACAGCAACATCATGAACAGCTCTGAATAATTGTCAGTGAAGTTTCTTGATGTTGGAGATTAAGTCGGCTAAAGTCACGGAGTGAAAAAAATAGTTTGCAACAACTGTACTTCATAATATCTGAGGCTAATGGGCCTTGGTCCTTTCCTACCACCTTGAAAAAATTGGTACCACCCTGAAATTGACAAGCTATGTCTGGATCGCCGAGGTTCTACTGTTTAGCATTGTGTAAGTTTGATGCACTTGCACACGGTTCTTCGTATGGGCCATCCGAAAAGGATAAGAAAAGGAGTAAAATCTGGAAGTTTCAAATTCGGGAAAGTGTTTCCAGCAGGGCTTTTCAAATAGTATGTGCCCGTCGGGGACCTCTGTTTAGGTGGCCACTTTGTGTGCAAGCTCTTCGACATCTTCACCGTGTACAGCGTCGGTCTGGTCTACTTGATGTACCGGGCGTTCAGGCATGTATCCATCTTCAAGCCCAACACCAGTAGACCAGCAAACTCCGAAAGGCGAGTTTGTTTTCTATTTAACATGCACGCAGCTTTTTGCCTTGTAATCAGTATGACTTCTATGACTGTGCTATAATTGAAATTCACTTGAAGACAGTGCAAGCTATAGTGAAACTTGCATATAAACTCGCATTCCAACTTTATGCTGAGTTTTCGTATTTCCTGGTACCTAGAGAGGCTTTTAAATAAACTTAACAGAGGAGTGTATTTTACTGAGAGGTGAACAAAGATGCTGAATTCAACTACAAAGCCAATTAGATTAGGGGTAGTAAAAGGCTATGCGACACATTTATGTCATTGCTTGTGCTGCCATGGGCTGATCTGTTTTTTTTTTTCCTGTTTTCATCACTATGGCTATTTTGACAGTGAAAGCTGTTATGAGATCACAACTCGGGTCTCGCGCAGTGCTGTAGTTGTCCGCCGCCAGCACCAGTGTCCGTAACCACAACGCGCAAAATTAGGAAAAAAACCTGGTACTAATGACACAGTAGGGCTCGAACCCAGATCCACGCCGGTGCATAGGACTTGTTGGCAAACTTGCCTTAGGCAGGCTTGATGTCGGGAAAGCAACCATATTAATTCGACTTATAAAGTGCTTTCAAATAGGGGAAGAACTAGCAGTCACCGCACAAATAGCGCAACGAGTGGTCGTCCAATGCTCCAATCAATTACGAAAGCTTGTTTTGTTCAGCTAATAACTGTGGCGCATACCCACTTCAAACATAATTTCTCATCACCATCAGCCGCTGCATGAACAACCGGCACTAAATTCCCTGCAATAGCTTAGTGGATACCACGCTTTTCAAAAGAATGACGAAAAATAGCATAGGGAGTGCCGGCCTACTACCCTAAAATGTTTATTAATAATGCTGTAGGTGGAATCAAGCAAGTGTGCTTGCATCAGTTACTCAATGAGTGTTTAAAAAAGGCTATCAAATCTGCTCTTCTAGCTTTCACTTTTACTGTGATGCGCCTTCCACGCAAACCTGGCATATTTTTTTTTGTTATTTTTAAGTGTTTCCACTTAACCTTGCTCATTAATTGTTACCGTGGTTGTTTACTGTTTGTACTGTTTTAATAGTTTGTGCATTATGTACTATATGGCATACTTCTGTTCGACCGCTGTGAAACTGCCTAGCGCATGAGAGGGCGTGGTCCCGCTCAAGCTGCTCAATGCAGCTTTTTTTGCCTGGTCGTCCTCGCAACGTCGTCGCAAATAAACTCAATTCAATTCAATTACATTTAAGAGATTTCCATTTACTGAGTCTACTGTATTTCATGCACCAGAAAGATTGAAGTAAGGCATTCCTTTTGGTGTAAACAACCAGGTATATTTTCGGGAACTTGCAGGTATATAGTGTGCAAGTGGCGTCGGCCAGACACGAAGGACATTGAGGACTACATGTACGAGTTGTGCTGCCGCTTCAAGGAGATCTCCAGCGTTACGAGTCAAGATGACATAGTCGAGGTTGTGCCCCTGGAAGTCCTCAATGACGATGCTGTTTTTGCGAAGTACATCCGTGAGTCCAATGACAGGTATGTAAATGGAATAGACGTCTGACAAGTTGATGGCAGCAGACCATGGTTATAGTGTACCTTGATGGCATAGAGTGTCCAACAAATATACTAGAAAAAACTCTGGCGCTAGTGTCTACGGGAGCTACATACAGTTCATGGCGCTTTAGCGAGCATGGGAATGTTGGGTAGTACAAAAATTTGTCTAATCTGTGTACTTTCGACTCTGTTTGACTCTGCATGGTGTTCAGTTGCTTTGTCACGAGACGACAATCAGCAGAGGTTCAGCATTTACACTTCACCACTTTGACCTTTTTAGACTGGCGCATTTTAGTTGGGTCACGAAATTCAAAACAATCCGTTTTTATATTCTAAACAAAACCTCAACAATAAACAAAGTCGCAAGTGCATTCGAAGCCTGCACTCACGAAAACTAGACAAATTCGTTTACTACCCATTGTTTCCAGGGTGGCTGAATGATCGCAGCACCGGAGTCCCCTCTAGTTAGTTTTTGGAAACTCTATCCCTGATGGATTACATTTAAACCTCGAACATTTACGTGACACCAAGATCAACTGGAAAGATGCTGAAGAGAAAAAGGAGGCTTGGTGGGATGCGATACTGTTGCCAATAGAGATAGCCCCGCATAGAGATAGCCGCAACCTCGCAACATTATGGTTGGCTCCAGAGATGTTTCTTGTCACATTATGTGTAATTACTACAGGTATGAAGTATTCATCTTTTGGCACACATTGACGTGAAGCATATTGTAGTTGCTCTGAAATATTTGGAAATACATAGTATATAGCCACATTTGTCACTAGGGGGTAAAAGCTTAGTGATGTTTCATTCTGCTTTTTTTTTGTCTCATTCGCTTGCTCCTTCCAACTTGTGTGTCCAGGCTAGGGCGTGCCCAAATCACACATCTCACGAAGATCAGGGCCTTTGCCCAAAACAGGTGAGTTCTGTTAGGTTTTAGAGCCCTCCTGGTAGCGCAAGAATGATTGAATTACTTGCTGGTCACAAGTAAAAATGCACTCTTGTAAGGAGCAGTGCACATATTTCTTGTGCGGCTTGTCTTAAATTATAGCCACATTGCTTTTTTAAAAGTATTGTTCGTTAAAACTATGCTTATTTGTTATACTTTTACTAGGCCACATGAAAACTGTCATTGTAAAGTGAAAAGAAAAGCTAGTGATCTTAATTAGCAGAAAAGACGAATAAATAAGTAACCCCCACAGTGCACCATTTGCAGACTGCTCCTTGAGGCCCAGAGGCACTTTCGAACACATTTAAAGCCACCATTCTCATTTGCGCATTCGTTAAATGTATTGATAGTGGTGCTGCACAAATTGATTTCAAGAAAACTAATACAAAGAAAAGGACGTTCATTTCCGGTTTAGCCATTGTTAATAAGCACCGAAGTCGTCAGTCACAATCATTGCCCGCTCATAATTCTCTTTTACATTTTTTTACATTGGTCACTGTGTAGAATAAAATTTCTAAGCTACTGTCACCGTCACCTTACTGCACATTTCACATGCTTTACGTGCCTCGCTGCGTACACGTCATAACCTGTGGTGTAGGCAGGTTTGCTTGCATGTAATGACTTTGCTTTCATTTTGCCCTGTACAGTGAGTTGTATGAGGAAAGGCAGAGCAGCCTACGCAAAGAGTGTCTCAAAGAGTGGAAGGTACGCACCTCTTTTTCTTTGATTCATCAATTTCCTCTTGTGCTTAGGATGCCTTTTGTGTGCACAGAGTTTATTTATGTATACATATAGGTCAGGCGCCTGAAACACACGGCCCGCGAACCTCTTGCTTGTGGCCTACGGCTCGCACATCTCTGCCGCACATGTTTAAAAATCGGCAAATATGTTCGTGAGCTGCTCAAGTGTGACTGGTTGAAAGCATCTTTTTTTGGGATGCACCCCACGTGGTCACAAAGTGTTGAACCGTAACCGTAAAACAAAATGTATATATAAAAAATGTGTTTTTTCTGCTTGTGTGAAGGCACTTAAGTCTCGATATAACGAACCCAGATATAATGAAATATTGGTTATAAAAAAGTATGGAAAAAGTAGTTTTGCAATAAGTTTGCAAAAAGTGTAGTGTTAGAAATATATCATTGTAAGAAATTTTCAAAATACGTAAAATTAAACTTTCTGATAAGTGAGGCTTGAGTGCAGTCGGCGCAATTGCATCGCCGACTTCATCATCGCCAGTAAAAAAAAAATATCTTGTGGAAAGATGTTCGTGTTATAAACGGTTTTTCTTTTTCAGTATTTGTGACAGGTGAATCTTTTTTCTTTGTGTACAGTAAGTGCAGCATTGCTTCATGTAAACTGAAAATCAGTTACACCCAGGCATTTCTTGTAATGATTACCCTCTGTTTAACCACGCAGGTTCCAGACCTGGCGCGTCTAGACCCAAAACGGCCGCCACCAGAGTCGAAGTTCAAAGAACTTACAAAGGTTGAAATTTCAGACCCCTTTTATTTCGTCTACATTTTCATTGTGTACACTCATTGATATAGGGAACCTGAACATAAAGAAATACTGGTTATAACCAAGTAAATGAAGAATAGTCTTGCAATAGATTTATAGTGTAAAAATATACCTTTATAACAAATTTTCGGCTATAACAAACTTATTTTTGTAAGTAAGCTTGAGTGAAAGTCAAGCTCTGCAAGGCCCTATAACGAGCTGTTTAGTTGGGCTTTTCTATTAAAACTTTATCTCGGCACAGTGTCAAATTGATGCCAGATTAGGAGGAAATACTCTGTCGTAGACACGTATTTGTTACTTCGTTTCTTTGATTTACTTCCTCTCACTCATTTTTGAAACTTCAGAATGAAGTCTCGTACTTTGAAAGACGTCCCGAAGAACTGACGCCCAAGTTTCTTGAAGGCATCAAGAGCCTCCACGACTACCGGTGTATCGTGTGCGGCGAGTGGAAGCCCGGCGTACGGGACAACAAATTTCTCTTCCTCAGTGCTGGGGTGGGTGTTTTTGTCTTCCCTCACTTCTTTCGATATCGTGTCATTGTTGGGACGCAGGAGCGTACAGCAACCCTAAGCCAGAGTTGGAGTACAAGCTCTCAAGTGAACGAATTGTGTACAGCAAAACAAAGGACGTGTCATAATGTGGTGCAACCTGCAATTTTTTTCTTGATATGCGCACCTGATATATCAGTAACTGTTTGTAAAACAGTCACGGTAGAACCCAGCGTAATCACTGGTGCCCGTGTTCATCCAAAAGTCTTCTTGACCTGGCGATCTTGAATAAACGTTTGTGCCATCGTGCCGTACATTTATATGGGACCGATTTTGTTCTTTTGGGGCATAAATTAGCCTGTACCTGCAAATTCAAACTTTGCCGACAGTGTTAAGTGTGTTCTGCACTGGTTACTGTAATTGTGCAGTTTCATTGAGTTATGTGGAAGCATAGGTCGGCAAAAAAAAATTAGAACTCACTCGTAATCGCTGAAGAAAGGCATTTTGCTCTGAGACTCGGACTAACTGAAAGTTTTCTCAACAGAACTCGCGTAGACGAGACACACCAAACATTTTCTCAATCGAACTTGGACCACGTCTCTTTGGTTGCCTGGCTCTCGGCACGTGCTTAGCATCCTGGAACGCCAGTGGCCGAAAGCGGCGCCCCCACGGGTTTGACGCGAGTAGGTTACTGCTCTGGGACGTCCGAGCACGCTAGTGTCTCGCTTTAATCCCCCTACCCCTTCCCCCTTTATGCCGGATCATCAATAAAGTTGTTTCACTCACTCACTCACTCAATCGAACTTGCTCGGACTCGATCTCACCAACATATTACCCAGGCAGACTTTCTCGGACACTGACACACGGCACTACCCGAGCCCGGGTGAGCCTTAGCGAGTTGACTCGCGAGTCTGCTGGCTTAAACGTAATTGCTCTTGAATGTCAACATCTCACATAATCTATGCTCTATGACGCACCTTTTTATCTTATGCCTTCTAGTACGAGTTATGAGTTGCCGCAATTCAGTAAGGGGCATTATTTTAAATACTGTTTTTTACTCATATTCAGTGTCACCTCATTAAAACAATTTTACTTACGACTGTCTTTTGGATACAACATACCGTATTTACTCGCGTAATGAACGCACTTCACATAATAAATGCACCCCCAACTTCACTAATCGAAATTTGAAATTTTTTTTTACCCGCGTGATAAATGCATCCCCTACATTCATCCGCTGCAGTCCCACTGTCCGACACCTGGCGCCTCCTCACCCGTTGTCTCTTTTCCGCTTTTATTACTTTGCCGACACCCCTCAGTTTGCTCCCTCCCCCCCCCTTCGCCCATTGCAGCGTGCCTATTGCTTTTCTTTCTATCTGTGCTCGGCACACATGGCTTTGGTCTTATCTGTGGGCCACAGCCCTCCCTTTCCGTTTTAGCCTAATTTTTTTTTTTTTTTCACTCTAACTGTTTCTTCATTCCCTGTTCCCCCATGAGTGTACACTTTAGGGCACCCCTCCAGATCACAAGCAGATACCCCTGTTAGAGGATTAGGAGAAAAGATAGTCTCAAAGCGTTTTTATGGCGTGGGAGGGCCCGTGGCCTGGGACAGCTTGCAGAAGACAGCGCCATCAACCACCGATGATGAATAAAGTGCAACAAAGAAGCTATTTCCAAACAGTGTACGCGTATGCGAATTGCAAAGGGCTAAGCGACTTGACTTTTTTTTTTGCATTACCGCATTTTTCTCTTCTTCCGAAACAAATTTCATAAAATTGGCCCCGCGTAATAAATGCACCTCTCAACTTTGCTCTGACCTTTTGAGGAAAAGTTGTGTTGATTACGTGAGTAAATACGGTATATTCTTACGTTGTTATGCCAACTACTGTATTTGTTCTATTGATAGAGCTTTGCTTACTATGAATTTCGGTGCAACGGACTTTCGGAAATAATTCACTAAAATGCGAGGCCACTAAGCTGGTCAGGACTTCTTTACAGCAGACTTTTATACCGGGGACCTGTCCCAAGTTCAATAACTTTAGACTCAAACATCGGCACACCGTGAATATCGACATACTGATTTAAGAACGAAGGCTGCCAATCTGCGATCTGTTAAGGGTCAGTTATGCCTAAGTAAAAGGACAAAAAAATCGGTGCTTGGTCTTGCGTTTTGGGTCACCACCCTCCCAAAGCGAGTCGTCTTCGGCTCTGTAAAGCGGGTTTGAATGTCCGGTTTCTTGAAGCTCTTCTCTAAAAGAAACCAGGTCCCACAACAGGGCGATACTGGAGGACCCAACCTTTCCCACATAATTCAAAAGGTCGTCTTCAATGGCAGGAAACTTGTATTGGCACGCGCACTCTTCTGCTTTCTCCCGTACTGAATGTCACATGTCGAAGAACTTTGAGCTGAAGTGCTTGGTGAAAGCATGGTTCCCGTTTTCTTCTGTGAACGTTATAATAGCTAGCTTGAATTTTGCCATGTATATATATATATATATATATATATATATATATAATCATTGTAGCTCATCGCAAGGGAACAGTAAAAACATTGTGCGACTAACGAACTTCCAAAATTAATTAGGCATCTGTTGCAGTGTTGACGCATAGGACGACGGGAACACCTCTCCTGCCTGTGATGCAGAAAATAGTTTAGTGCCATGTTATAGCAGTGTTGCGGGCATGCATCCTCACAGTGGAAGAGATGGGGAGACACAGGGAGGGAAATGCTGCAAGCAGTTCCGACAACCTGTCAACAGGTTTGAGCGTTCGGGTATGGTGTTATAAGAATCGTAGTTTGAGGGAAATCTTCGCTAGAGAGGACTTCACTCTAGCAGCCCGTTTGAGGTATGAGGTATGGCTGTTCGAGGTAAGAGGTATGGCTTGAATTAAGGTATGGCTGCAGTCGCCCACTCGGCAAAGGGTGCGCCTGTACAAGCCAACCAAAGGTGCAAAGTTTCTTTGCATATGCGCTAGCGAGCTGGCTCAGTCAGGTCGGGGAGTGAAAAATATGTGAGTAAATTTTGTTTTAAATTAAAGCTGGCCAAATATTAGGGGTGTGCAAATTATGTGAGGGCACAAATTATGTGAGTAAATACGGTATGAGACTCGTGGAAAATATTTGTATCTGGAATTTCTTGTGAAAAAGCTCGTGCGGAGAAGCTTTTAAACAACCCTCTTAGCTCACTCCTCTGACCAATAAGCATTGAGGTGGTAAATGAATGCTAGTGCATTCAGATATGGGTAAATAGACTCAAGGGAGGACACGGGTCTTGGAGACCGAAAAATCGCAAAAAAAATCATTTTTTTCTAAATATTTTTTTTGGGTTCTGGAGTGACTGATGCATAATCTGGCAAATTTTCTCGCGTCCTGGATTGATATTTTAGCCGCAGTAGCGTTTATAAACATGCGTGTGATGAAAATATTCCTCGATGGACGCGCAAAAATGGGCTTTTTTTCCGAGACGCGCAGCTGCCCTTTTACGTGTCTGATTGCAGCCATCTTGGTCGCGTTCGAAAGAGCCGTGTTTCATTTTCATTTTTTGCGCCACTGCTACTGCATACGCCTAGCGGCCACTCAGAAAAATCCAGCAAAATGTTAGACCTGATGCGTGGTCCTATTGGTCTACTAATGCACGTGACAGTCAGTGCGCACGTCCATTGGCGCATACGCGCAGTCGTCTGCTCGGGCTGGGGCTGTGCGCATCGGACAACGCGGCTGCAACGTGCAACCATGCCGAAGTCTACGCTGAAGTTCGCTACAAAGCACCAATTCAGTGGACGCACGAAGAAACGGAAGGTGTACAACTTTCAAAATAAGGGCCGACCACCTTCAGAAGATGTCGACTCGCCTCCCGTGCCAAGTGGCCACGAAGAAGCTGCCGATAACGCAGAGTGAGGGTTAGGCCTAGCGTGTCAAAGCGTCCCTGACAGCAACGATGTTTGACCGATGTTTCGACGCGACACCATTACATTAAAGCTGGCTGAATTATTGATGATTAAAGAGAATGCCGAAGAAAGTTACGGAACCTTGCATCAACGCCAGCTACCAAGCGAAAATCAGATCTGCTCGCTTGTGCAAACGACACTGCCACCACGGATGACACTGCGGCTGGCTCACAAGTGATAGATACGCGCTTCGCTTTGGTGAGCCTCGACGCTCTAAACGCTATGAAGTCGAACGTGAAGTGCAAAAGGTGCGGCTGCGATGTTTCAGTACGCCTAGGTGAGCGGGAATACGGCCTCGCCCTAAAGATTGCTACATCGTGCGAGATTTGCGGTGATAACGCGCCCGTGTAGAGTTCGCCGCGCGTGAACGACGAGAAATTGTGCAACCCCTTCGTCGTGAACATTCTTGCCGCGCGTGCTATGAAAAGCACTGGCAATCAGCAAACTGCCTTGGATGACATTTTCGCGACAATGAATGTGTCTTCCCGCGGCATGCATACCAAAACATGGCAGGCACATCTGAAGATTAAGATGACGCCCGCCGCAACTGCAGCTGCTGATAAATGCATATCAGAAAGCGTGCTCGCTGTTCGTAATCTTTATAGCGAACTGAAGCTCGGTGACCCAGGAAACATTGCCATTTCCTATGATGGTTCATGAATGACGCGTGGACACTCATCCCATATCTGTGTTGGCGCTCTTATAGAACTTTTCACGGGTTTAGTGCTTGACTATGTGGTGCTAAGTAATTTTTGCGCAGCGTGCGGATGGGGACCGAAAGAAAAGATCCAGATTACCAGTCGCGGAAAGTAAGTTATATATGCCAAAAGAACTCCAGCAAAAAATCTGGTGAAATGGAAGTGAAAGCTGGATTGATGCTTTTTCAGAGATCACTGGAAAAACACAATCTCAGGTACACCACAATACTTTCAGACGGTGACAGCCGCACTTTCCTTGCACTGCAGGAAGCCGAAGTGTATGGCTATATACCAATCAACAAGGAAGACTGTGTCAACCACGTTGAAAAGAGAATGGGCACAGCATTGCGAAACCTCATTGCTAAGCAAAAGGGGGCTGGAACTGAGAGCCTTGGTGGTCGGGGAAAACTGACTGGCGACCTGATTACCAAGCTCACTTCCTCCTATGGCTGGGCGCTGAAGAGCAATAAAGGTGACGTGAAGGCCATGCAAAGAGCTGTCATGGCAATCTATCACCTTGTCACCTCCAATGACGAAGTGTCTGACCACAGTTTGTGCCCAAAAGGCAAAGATTCTTGGTGCCGCCAAAATGCAGCCACAGCAAAAGGCGAGCCCATCCCCAAGTATCGCTACAACTTGCCACCTCATGCCTGCAAGGCCCTTTTGCCCATCTATGAACGTTTGTCGGATGAGAGGCTTCTTGAACGGTGCCAGCGGGGGAAAACGCAGACCAGCAACGAGAGCCTCTATTCCGTTGTTTGGGCACACTTAGCTAAAGAGAGCCCTGCGTCACTGTTTTCTGTCCAAGCTGTTGTGGCTGAAGCTGTGTTGAAATTCAACGCTGGAAATGAAGCAGCCCTAGCAGCAATCATGAAGGAGCTGCACGTCAATCCTGGACTCTCAGCGAAAAAAAACGCATGGCAGAAAAAGACCGCCGCAGATTGACCGCATCTGCTCGCAAGTGTGCCTCTGCGGAAAACACGCAGCGGGCATTGAAAAAACGTCATTTAGGTGACGCAAAACAGAAAGACTATATGCCTGGTCCATATTGAGAAAGTTAAATTTGGAAATCGCTGTAAATAAACAGCTTTTCCATGCTACTGTCTTGTCAAAATCGTCTTGTTTTGTTTTTGCATGATTTCTCAGGATTCAAATTTTGCTGTAGTTGCAAACTTGTCCAAAAGATATCTCTGCCTTCAAAGCAGCTAGGACTGTCATTTTTGTTGTGACATGTAGCTGTATCCTTTGTTTACACAATGGTAAGAGTGAATTTTTTATTGATATCTTCAAAAATTTTATTTTTATATGAAATTGGAGCATAATGTGGGTGTGTCTGCAACACTGAAATGCAAAGTGCAACAAACCTTGTTAAAGTTATCAAATAAAAAAAGCGCTCCTACCGTTATGTGGCTTATGTTCATTAGTATAAAGGAATATGCCAATGGTAGCTTTGCAATAAATTTTGTGTCATTATACCAGCAAACAATAGGTAATTAATTTTAGGATATCTCAGAAACTAATTGGTTTAGAGAAAAAGTAATTACATTTTTGAAATCAGCATCACAAACTTAGTCACACTGTGCATTTTTTTTATAAACTTAGAAAATATCTGACACTTCCTCTCAAGTACAGTGTCCCCCTTAAGGTACAAACGTAAGCCAATATAAGGCTGATAGGTAGGTATATAGGACAATAGGTTGAAAATAAAAGGTGGAGCTCGCTCGGACTCTCTCAAGAAATATATATTGCGCTTAGGGTCCGCTTGAGCTAAAGCTCGCCAATATTTAACTCAGCCGGACTCACTAGGGCTCAAACTCGTCAGAATGTTGTTCACCTGGTCTTGGTCAGACTTTCACTTCCATCTGGGTCAGAGTCGTCCGCGTATGCCAACCCATCTGTGGGGGCCTGTCGAACATTTGCAGAGATGAAATTTATTTATTTATTTATTTATCACATACTGCTGACCAAGTATGGTCCATGCAGGAGAGGGCAATACAGTTCAAAAATTCTTCTACATACATACACTTCCACTGCAGTATACATTCACTGCAGAACAAAATTCATGTACTTTAAAAATTCGTGAAAAACAAGGGACAAATACAGGTAAAGAAGCAGACTTAAGCGACAAGAAAAGGGTATAGTTTCATCTCGGCGTGTCGAGCATAGGGGAATCGTGGGGCAGAGCATTCCAATCAGAGACAGTTCTCGGGAAAAATGAATACTTGTAAATGTTAGTGTGTGCAAATATAGGTGTAATGCTACGACTATGTTTATGACGTGAAGCCCTGGTTGTGTCCTGTGTTATGTAATCTGGTGCATGCAATCCTGATCTGGAAAAGTATAAAAGGCGGAAAAAGTTAAGCCGTGCAGTTTTCCTTCGATCGGCCAAAAGTTGGAGGTTCGCATCCTGCAACAGGGCTGACGGCGAATCGCGACATCTATACCGGTTGTATATAAATCGAGCAGCTAATCGTTGTATTTTTTCTATTTTCTGTATATTACTAGCTGTGTGGGGGTCCCACACAATGCTGGCATATTCAAGAGAAGGATGAACTATGACTTTATAGGCTCTAAGTTTTAGCGAACTAGAAGAACGACCCAATTTATATTTTAGAAAGCCTAATTTTCTCCTGGCAGCAGAACATATACCATCAATATGTGCTGTCCAGCTAAGCTTCGATGTAATCGTTACGCCCAAGTACTTGAATTCTTCTACTTGCCTGATAGCGTATCCATCTACATTATAAGTAAACTCCAGTTTTCGGATTTCGTTACTCAGACATAAATATGCAGTTTTCTCAAAATTAATTGCCATTTCCCACTTTTTACACCATTCTTTTATGTAGTTTAAGTTCTCACACAAGTCACGCTGGTCAGAGATAGAAATTATGGTATTAAAAATTATGCAATTGTCTGCAAATAACTTAACAGACACGCCAGATCGGATGGCTTGAACTAAATCGTTAATATAAATATTAAATAGTATTGGCCCGAGAACTGACCCGCAAGGGTCAGTTCTTGGGCCAATACTATTTAATATTTATTTAACCTCGATGTTGTAAAATTAGAACGTCGAAGCACTAAGTTTGACCATTTATACAAAGTACAATCACTGTCTGATGCTTGTTTTTTTGACCTGAAAGGTGCAGCAGTAAATGCCTCAATACTTACTGAGTAATAAAACAAATATTGGGTAAAAATTGATATTGATGAACTGGAATGGTAGGGACCACGTTTATTGTTTATGTTACTGGCCATATTTCACATTGAAAACCAAAGGAAAAAAAGAAATACAGGTCCTAAGCACTGCAGTCATTGGTGCAAGCTCAGTGTCAATTCCATTAGCGTGGCTTGCCCACATATTCTCATGTTCACAAAGTGGTCATAATGCTTCATTCGATGGGCAGTCAATAATAATAATAATAATATAATAATATCTGGGGTCTTATGTGCCAAACCTATAATTATGTGCCATAACCAAGGCTCCTAAAAAATTTCAACCATGTAGCGTTCTACAACGTATAATGACATCGCACACTACATGGCCCTTTAGCATTTCACCTCCATAAAATCGCGACCGCTGCAGCTAGGATTGAACCCGCGAACTTCAGGTCAGTAGTTGTGCACCATAACCGCTACATCACTGTCACGGACTTCACTGGGCAGCCACTCTTTGCACGATTCACTGAATGCAGTGGCCATTGCAGTTGTGCAGCCAGTGAATCCTTAGGAAAGAGCCAAATAGTTGAGTTATCATAGAATATCTTGCATCGGACATGCTTTGTCAAGTCTCGTTATTCTCTAGTTTCAGCTATGCTTAGTAGTTATTATGAGATTCCTTGTAAGCAAGTCTGCTGAAGAAAGTTGGTTTCATGCATTTTGAAATGTGAGAATCTTGCGTTACCGTCTTGCTATTTGCAGCGCAAGCAAGTCTACCAGTGGACAGGCTCGTCAGCAGACCAGTGGAAGAAGGTCACCGAGGGCCTGGAACTCCCGCCGGACACTCTGTTCTACGGTGAAATGGTGCAGGAGTTTGCAGGAGAGGTCAGTGGCTTTGCATCTGGCATATCAGCGCACGTCAGATCCTTTGACATTCCAGCACGTCCCATTGTAGACCAGCATGTTCACTTCCATTCAGCGATGAGTTGGGGACCTGACTGTGCTTTACCATTGCTGATTTACAGTGCTTAATGACTGAAACGCAACAGTTTGGAGCTCAGTAACGCGCATGATTCTGTTTCCACTGCCTTTACTCTGTCTCTTGTCAGCACAATTTCGAATCAAACACTTACATAAAAGCCAACATAACCTTTAGGCGCCAAAGTCATAGTGTCATGATGCTGTCATCTCAAGCAATGCTACATAGCAGTTGATTTGCCAGAAGCTTTTATGTCCTGGATGGTTGCTTTCTGGGCTAGTTGGTTCATTTTAACGTTTGTTAAAGCGCGTAAAACTAGAAAGGACGACGCGACAGAGAGTAAAGAGTGCTGATTTCCAACTGTTTTATTTCCGCAACGATACAAAGTGTAAACACGTGCACAGAGCCAGCGGTTAAAGAAATAAAATTTAGCCAAAGGAAAAAACAGTCGGCAACGAAAGCGCTAGGTGATACTGACAAGTCTTAATATAAAGCCTTATCTCATCTTTGGTCAATGCAAGCGATGGCATGCTTACACATCCCCTTCTTGCACGAGCAATCGGTTTCTTTACTCTCTGTCCATGTTGTCTTTTCTATTCTGATGCACTCTGACTTATGCTTATGTTTTAATGTCCTGTTTCAGTCTTTCAGCACTGTGCATAGCAAATTTTTTCAGTGAGCATTTAATGGTTGTCCTAATAACATCGATTTACACGTGTCCTCTTTTTGCATTGATTGGTCATGCCTGAGAGTCAGGTAATTTGTAAAGGAATATCTCCTTACTTTTTAATAAGATTAATATCAGTGAATAAGGGGGCTATTATACGTGATGGCATATTTAAGAATTTCGGAGACTGGCAAAATGAGTCATCTGCAGTTTCCTCATGATATTCAAAATGAGACGCTGTTAGAGGAAAAGGTAGTTTTGTCAGAAGTTGCATTATTTTTCATTTTAATGGCGTAGCTGTTTAGCAAACCATTCCTTGTACATCTTGTATCGGTAATCTATCTTCATCGTTAACGGTTGTGCACCATATTATTGAGTTAATCTCACCCCTCGCCACCAGGTCCACTCAAAATGAAGAAGGCACAAATAGCCCAACAGATGGCTGTGAAGGCAACAACGGCTGCGAGGAGACCCCGAAGAGACTGAAGGCCTACAGCAGGGATTACGTGTCCTGTGTCATGTCTGACTGTCTGCGGCCTAACTCGAACCCTCTTTGTGCTGAGAATAAACATAGAAACAAACAACCTCGCATCACCTAGCTAAAGCATAGCAACGACCTAGAAGCATACAAATTAGCCTTTGTAACCATCCAGTGTCAGTGTTTAAAGGCTTTCAAAGCTCAGTGTAAGCTTCGCCAATGTTTTCAACTTCTTTTTGTCAAGTTGAGTTTTTCTACTTTCATGAAAACTAAAAAAAAGTTATAGTTGTACTATTTAAACTGTAGATGAGTTAATACAGTCGAACCCCGCTACAACGAAACTGACAGGGTGCCGAAAATATTTCGTTGAAGAGGAAATTACGTTGTAGTGAAATTGAAAAAAACATAAGTGACCTGGGCTAGCAAAACAAAGGAACGTTTATTTTTAAACTTCAAAAAATGTTTGTTGCTTCCTATTCTTTTTCATGAGCGTCATTATGTGATTCTCAGCCATGCATAGCGAGGCCACGGTGAAAAGCACGCTGAAACAACGCCTAAAACCGCTTTCATGAACGGACCAAACCGTTGCATCAAGACGTTAACACCAGCAGCTGTCCGCCATCAAAAGTGTCCGACAACGCCGAGATGGAGGCAGGGTATCAGAGAGCGGCAACTTTTGCATTATTCTATGCCATTCTTATCATCCATCCCTTGCAGCTAGCTGATTTCATTGATAATGCGGACGAACAGCTGCGCTGAGTAGTTACCAGTAGTTATCACACTGGACAAGCGCGAACATAATGATAAGCATCGGAATCGGAAAAGTCAATCGCGGTTGCACCCAGAAGCTGCAAGAAGAAAATCATGAACTGAGCGACTGAGCTTCCGCTTCGGATTGTCTACGACATAAAAGCAAGCCAGCAGGGCAGTCTCATTGCTATCGCTATCTAGAAATGGCGGCGTCCATGCTTTCTGAACAGCGGCAATATAGCGGCGGTTTCTGGTAGTTCCAGTGCATGTTTTAGATTTCGTTGACGCATTTTCAGGCTCTGTAAATGCATTGAAATGTTAAAGATTGGGTTTACTGCATAGCAGTAAGTATTTGAGCCTGGGATTGCACTGTAAAATTTCGTTGAAGCGGGACATAGCAGTAAGTATTTGAGCCTGGGATTGCATTGTAAAATTTCGTTGAAGCGGGACGAGCAAAGAAAACGTGTTTGTTGTGGCGACAATGTTTATGCATAGACTCCTATGGACTGCTGACGAGGAATCGTGAATTTTTTGTTGTAGCGGAGATTTTGTTGAAGCTGCATTCGTCGTAGCGGAGTTCGACTGTAACACTTTTAGGAGCTCAAGGTGCCTGCTAAAAACGTGAAAATGCTCACCTGTTTTAGAGCCCCCTGGAAAATGTAACCTGGCTGCTTGCCGTTGCATTTCTCATGAGGAGTTAAGAAAAAAATTTGGCTCAATATAACCATAATTTCTGAGTTCTCATCAAAGAGCTTTAAGTTTTGCCTTTAAAATGCGTTTTTTTTCCAGTGCATTTTTTGTCAACTACGAGAGTTTTGAAATAATGGTTCTGGTACCAGATGTGGACGAAAACTCTCACTCAGTTTTCTTAACATGTGAAGGGTGTTGTTAGCTCCTCTAAAACTTAATGTCTCTGACATACATACCTATTAAGCAATTATTATTGATTTAAGATGTTAATACTTCTCAGATTCTAATTTTCTATGTTCAATAAAATGTTTTACGCACACCATCAAGTAAGCTTTTACATTCTACAGTTCCACAACTAATTGCTCATATATTCCTCTGAGGAGAAACATAAGTTGCTCATGAGTGTACGAGTTTAGTGGCCGAAGTGAATCCAAGGAGAGCTACTTTTTTCAGTTTCTACACATTGTCATGATTAAAAACTAAATCTGCAACTTACTATAAAACTCACTACTCAATTAAAATTAGCATAAAAAGCTATGTAGACTGCACAAATTTTTTCTCCCTAGGCTACAAAATGCAGAAAAATTTTTGTTCAAGTAGCATCTCTTTTTTGAGCATTTGCTTGAACAGAAATGAGCATTAGACAACTGAATCGTGGCAAAAGTTGTGCCGACCCTCAAATCAGAAGAGGACAAAAGGCTGAGAGCTACCATTCAGTTTCTTTGATATACAGATCCATTAATAAGCTTTAGCAGACATTCAAACCTATGTACACTTATTCTCGGGGCACAAGGTGACTTTTTCACAATCAGCACGGCTTTCAATAGCATCTTTCCGCATCAACCCAACTGCAAGTAATGGTCAACGACTTTATATGTGCTTGAATAATTCACAATTCTTGACGATCTCTCAGTCGCTGCTCCCCTTGGGGGGGTGCGAATTCGCTGTTTCTTTCCAATCCAAGCCAAGTAGGTATTCTAAATGGCTCAACAGCGCTGAGCCAAGCTGAGTACGTTTCTTTATTCGGTCTTTATTCCTCACTTTTCGGCAGTGTTGATCGTGGCAGTGGTGTGGTCGTGTTGCCTTACCTACGTGCTTCTTGTGCGGCGTGTCCTGATTTTAAAAAAAAAATTCTTGTTGCCTTGTGCGTGAGGGGTGCGATTGAATTAGCCCACTAAAGCTTCATATTATGCTGAAGTACGACGTCTTCAGTGTTAAAAAAAAAAAAAAAAAAAAACTTGAAATCATTTGCACCATTGAAAATGGGACCAAGAAATTTGCAGGTAGCCCGCGAAAAGAACTTGCCGCTGACGACTGTGTGCGGAATTTGAAAGACTTGCGAAAAGTTGACGATCGGCACAGGCAGCAATTTGAAGAGGTGCCGCATCAGAGACTCTACTTATTCCGAAGTGGAAAAGGCCCTGCTTCTTTGGCTGAAAAAGGCGCAGAACATGAACCTTAGCGGACCCCTTTTGACCGAAAAAGCACAAAATTTCGCAGATCAGCTGAACTTCCCCGGTTTTGCCTGCAGCAATGGCTGGCTGTCATGGTTTCAAGCCCGCTATGGCATCGTGGGGAAGGCTGTTTGTGGTGAGGCTGCTGCAGCAGACAAACAAGGTGCTGTTGAATGGCAGGACACCGTTTTGCAGGAAGCCTTGACAGCCTACGATGCCGCCAACATTTTTAATTTTGATGAGTCGGCACTTTCAATTTTCCATTGCCTGCTTCCAAACAGGACATTGGCATTTATGAACGAGAAGTGCTCCGGTGCGAAACATGCCAAAAATCCCATATCGGTCGCTTTTGGTGTAAATATGACCAGTAGTGAGAAGCTGCCACTGATGGTCATTGGCAAGTATAGAAACCCATGGTGCTTGAAAAGTGCTCGGTTGCCATCCAGCTTTGTTTACAAGCACAAAAAAAAAAAAAACCTAAATGACAGCCCAGCTGTTCGAGGAGTATGTGCGCCAGCTGGACCGCCGTTTTGCTGCCAAGAAAAGGAGCATACTGATAGTACTCGACAATGCATCGACGCATGTCTATGTGAGCAACCTGTCGGCTATTAAGCTGTTGTTTTTGCCGCCCAACACGACAGCGCTCGCCCAGCCTCTTGATCAGAGCATCATCCACTCTGTCAAGCAGATTTACCGCAAAAAGCTGTTGCGGAGGATGTTGCTCGTCATCGAGAGCGACAAAACGTACTATACATCTGCTTGCACACTCATGGATGCAGGTAGAGCCAGCAACGATACGGAACTGCTTCTGTTTCGCGCGAGCACAATTCAAGATGCCAGAAGAAGGCAACGATGACAGCGAGGATGGTGAGGACACCGAAGACTGCGAAAGCCTCCTTGTTGAGGTGCACGAGCTGCAACGAGAGGGAATCAGAAAGTTGAATTTCGGCACTTTCCGAGATGTGTACGGAGACGTCGTTACATCTCCAGATTTTTCCGACACCGCCATTGTTGCCACCGTCGCACCTCATCCTGAAGCGAAAGTGAGGAGGAGAGTGGTGTCAAAGTGGACGACGACCCCTCGTTATCCAAAGCTGCGCGTGCTGTAACTGTGATGCAAGCCTTCACGGGGAAGCGAGGCCTAATGGACCGGCTGGCTCGCGGCCTCCCCGACATTGAAGATGCCGTCGTCGCGGCAAGGCCACCACGGCAGCAAGTGAAGATCACAGATTTTTTTGCTGCCTGTCCCTAAATAAAGCTTGCGTGCCTGGGTGTGGGCGTGCGTGTTCGTGAGAATTGTGGCGTTCTTTTCTGACCGGTAAGTAGCCGCTGAACTGGAACTGACTGTTAATTCGTACATCGCTTAGTGCGTACCAAAACATTGTTCCTGGCCAACTACACGTTAATGAGGTTTGACTGTATGTAGCTACTGAAATGCTGTTTTATTTATGGCATGCATGGTGCAAGAACAAGATGCTTACATTTCAAATATGAATTTCATTTCATACTTATTTGTAGTTACTAAGTAGTTACCGTATTTACTCGATTCTACCGCGCCCTCGATTGTAACGCGCACCCGATTTCCACCGCGAAAAAAAAAAACAAAAACGTAAGACATCAATTGCAACGCGCACCCATTTCTCTCGCTGGCCCGCACGATCACACCACTCGAAAAAACGACTCCTTTCGGGAGCGTCTTCCATTTAAATATGATGTACGGGCGAAGCTTGTGCCCATCTGACGTGTAACAGACCATTGCCGTCACTGTAGTTTTACCGTGGACCGATGTCAGCACGCGAACTTGCTTCGCCCCCTTCTTCTCGACGGTTGTGGTGCCAGGCATGTCGAAGTAAAGAGGCGTCTGATCGGCATTCCCGATTTGCCCAAGCAGGTAGTCGTTGTTGCGCCGCAAGTTTCGGACGAACCTCTGAAAACTGTGAAGCTTTTCATCGTACTCCTCCGGAAAACTTTTCGCATATGCATGTTCCCCTTCGGAGGAAAAAGCCTTTCCTCTTCATAAAGCTAGTTAGCCAGCACCTGCTCGCTTTAAACTGGCTCCGCATTAGACCTTTTTCTAAGACTAATTGCATAGCCCGCACTTGGAGCAGTTCTGTCGTCACGGGCCGCTGTGCGACTCGCTGCTCAAGCACATACTCGCCGAGCAGCTCTTTAATTTGCGGAAACCGACCCCGGTGTGGTCCACAGAAGCCTTTGCGTGAAGTTTTGCTGTCGACAATCTTCTGCTTTTGTTTCCGCCGGTCCCGCACGCACGTTTCGAGAACTCCGAACGACCGCGATGCGACCCGATTTCCATCCGTTTCTGCACACGCGATGACTTTTCTTTTAAAAGCGGCATCGTGGTGCACTCGAGTTTCGGTAGTCGGCCCATCCACGCCGTCGATTCAAATGCACTACTAGATGACGAACTCCTCAGCACACGTACAAAGTGCCGCACATGGGAAACACATAGGCAGAAATGGCCGACGCGCTATGCCGTTCCTCCGTGCCGACGCACGTAGGGGGCGGCCGTTTTAGATTTGCCGATGGCAATAGATTGACCGTAATTTTTTTGTTCGTACTCGATTTTATCGCGCATGCGATTTATGAACTCGCTTAACCGGAAAAAAGGTGCGCGTTAGATTCGAGTAATTACGGTACTGTCAGACAATTTATTTCACTGCTTAGTGTGGTGGTTGTTACCTATTTATATACTGCCTATAAAATAAAGCAGATGTGCCGAAATTCAGTGCATTTGCTTCAGTTCGAGTTGAGTAATTTCTTCAGAGATTCATATTACAGCGGAACCTCAATTATACAGCTTTCAGGGAACCACACAAAGTCGTCGTATAATCTGGGCATCGTATAATCCAAAATCTAAGAACACTGGCTGTGACAATCTGCCTTGTGCAAAAAACGGGTACAGACCTCATGAATAAGCCATTGATATAACCTTGTGGTTCTTCGCGAAAGGTAGATCAAATTATTCTCGCCAATGGCAGCATTACTAAGTTGAAGCAGGTGCGAGTGGATCTTCATTCTCAACTTCAAACAATCGAATCCAAAGCGCTTCTTTTTCCCAATAAGTTAAGTCCAAAAATTGCCTGCGCGTGAAAATGAAACCAAGACTTCCAGTCAGACGAGTCGGACAAGGTGTCATCGCCACCACATAATGAGGGTGGAGCACAAGTTTGCGTAGAATGCCTTCGTGCTCGACTGAGCTGTGCGCATTGTGATTTCTTGCCTTGTGAAGTGCAACTACTGATTTCGCACTGTTATAATGAACGTTGACATCAAGTGAAAGTTATTTTGCTTAGTGAAAATAGCAGCATCAAGCCCTTTTGCATGCTCGAGCTTGTGACTGCAAGTGCCACAAACCAAGGCAGAGTCAACTGTACGTTGAGCAGGAAAAGTTTCCACACCCCAAAAACAAGAATTATCAGGATCTCAGAAATGAGGTTTTTGGCCAGCTTAAGCTACTCTAGAGGGAGCTTCTCTGGGTAACGACCCTGCACGCTATCGAGACATATGCAGACGTGCGTGAACTGACAGGAAATAAATTTTCCTTTCTAAGAAGACATCCTGTCTTAATCTATACTTTGGTAATCATCAACCTAGGGCAACACAAAGTTCATGTTTTGGCCTTGTGAGTATTTGTCAGCGTTCCATGCAAGCAAAGGTGTGTTTCTTATTTTTGACGGATTCGGAAAGTCATCATGACATGCGGGGTTGGCGTAAAACTGCGGCATATAAATAAGGTCTTCAATACATATTCCCTATGGGGATTTTGCCGGGACCAAACCGATCCGTTGCAAAAAAGCGGGTTGCGAAACCGGGGGACATATAATCGAAGTTCCACTGTAGTTCGGTCAAGCAGTAGATCAGCAGTCACAAGCACGAAGTGATATAGCCGTAAATAAAAAAAAAAACAGGATGCCTGAGTTAATTTTAGATGGTTCTTCACATAAGGAAAGTGTTGTTCTAGCAGGCATGTTTTTCTGTACCATGTGATCGTGTGTCATCAGTTTGATATTGCTTGCTGCCACTCGTACGAAAGAGATAAAAGGGTAGGCAGACAGAGGGCAGTTCTGAACAATGAAAACTATTCGCATTACAGTTACTTTCGTCATCTTTTTTTTTATTATTCTAGGGTCGACAACAGAAACGATTCAACACCATCCACATCATTGATGCCCTCGTCTTGGGCAAGGTGCCAGTCAAAGACAAGCACTACGAAGAGAGGTGACTCGAAGTTTCTGAACCCATTTTCTTCGCATTCTTTGACATTTCTGTAGTCATTGCTGATTATTTAACAGTTGGTAACTAAATCATTGACAGAAACGTTTTGGTCATTCTCTACTGCCTGCAACATCACTGTAGGGGCCTATCGAGTTGCAAGTCTTTCTGTCATGCCTAGGACTGGAAATGTCATTTTCAGCACTCGACTTGCTGCGAGTACTTGCTCATTTATACTTTCTTCACATTGATTACATGAGATAGCGTTAGTCGGTGGCAAAACTTGCGACGAACAGGATTGTGAGCACGAATATGTTGTCGCAGTTGATGGCCGGCACAAAAAAAAAAAAAAGTAAACTCACTGCGTTCGTCATGCATTCAGCTTAGATGACTCGAACACGAAGGCCATCTTCCTATTTTCTCGTTCTGATACATATGACTGATAACGTACTGATACATATGACCACTTTTCTGAAGGCACTAGTACCACGTTCCATGAGTCATGCGACGTGACGCTTCCTGCAAGCGATGTGAAAAGCAGAATTTGTGTTTGCTCAAGATTGACATAACCAAAAATGAATTTGCACTATACTACTAGCCTGAGATTTTTCTGTTTAAGCAAAAGTAAGCATCAGTGGCTTCAGGATTAAGATATATTTATTTTTGACCTAATTAGGATGAGTTACTATAACGTACATAAGTTCAACAGTTATCTCATTATTCTTCGGGCAACGAAATACTGAGTGCTGGAAGTAACGCTGTAGTGATTTGACACATTTACACACAGTTCTTCATAGGTGGCGTCTGAAAGGGTTAAAAAAGGCCATGGCCTGCAGGAGAGAATAACTGGGCTGGTTGGTATTACTGTTCACTCTATGAGAGTGTAAAGACACATACTCTCATAGAAGAGAAATACGGGTGTGTATTGTTCTTTGTGTGTGTGTGTGTGCATGCATGTGTGTGTGTGTGTGTGTGTGTGTGTGTGTACATGCGTCTGTGAAAGGATTTGTGCTACCATATAGTGAAAGACAGTGATCTTGATTTTGAAGGCAGCTGAGTCTCAACAGGAGTGGCTTTTGGCTAGAGTGAGTGGAAGTGAGTGTGGATGTGCGTGAGCACCAGTCGGCAGAAGCACACACGGGTGCAAGTGCCAATGGGTGCTGGAAAGTTTGAATAGTCGTCACTGCAAACAAGCATTAGTGTTGGTGAGCACGAGAGAGCCTGAGAGCTGACGTGTAAGCTCACAAAGTGCAATACATGCTGCATAGCCTTCAGGAATATCGGTGGATAAGCGCTTGCGTGTGTTTGCATAGTCCACTACAGTGCGCGAAATGTTTTCGGTTATGAGTAGTGTGGGTAATAAGCTAACCTTTCCAGTTGCAATTAAAAGGTTTAAATTATTTTTTCTCCTGTGTGTTGGCGATCAGTTCTCTTTTCTGCATGATCAGAACTTGGATGTGCCGTAAGTATTGAAATACTATGTCGTAAGTATTGACGTAAGTTGTGAACGGGTAAACTTTGTTCAATTATGCCTTAGGATCTGCAACCACTGGCAGTGCATACATATTCTCAAATAGGACCCATGAAAGACAACTTCCAAGTAGGCAGTGTGAATATTGTCACGGGGTCGTGATGTGGCCGAAGACAGGAGACTTTGTGTTGAAATTTAACTGTTTATTTGGGCGAACCTGTGCCCGGTAAACGGAAAGTCCGATTACAGTAGCAGTCTTAGACTGATAGCGGCTAACGGAGCGTCGGCCGTCGATCAACTACTGACAAGCGGTGAAGCGCGTCGGCATTTATACTCTTGTCGTCGAATGTTCTAGCATTATCGCTGGTGGGGGCGTAGATTTCAGAATAATCTGTACAGTTCGCAGAGTAGGCGTGATCTTATCGAAATGATCTACTACAGTCCGGAAGCTTCTCGAAAACAGCAGGCACGGTTTGTGCCGAGAATTGTGTAGTATTTTGGGACGATAACAAAACTTGGGAAATGGAACGTGGCACTGCCCTCCTCTGAAAAAGGCATCGTCCCGATGCTTTAACTAAAGGTGTAGGTACAACAATAATGCAAGAAAGTACAATGAATAAATTACGATACAATAATAATACAAAGAACACTGTTTCAGTTTGTTAACGCGCATGAAACGGCTTGAGGCGCGCGACATGGACGACTTCAGGTCGCGATCGGCGTCGTTGAGAGTTCGTGATGCCGTCGGGGACAACCCCGTAATCAAGTTGGCCGAGACGTCGAACCACCTTCTACGGTCCGAAGTACCGTCGCAGAAACTTTTCACTTAGTCCACGTCGGCATATCGGCGTCCACACCCAAACACGTTCACCGGGCTGGTATTCCACGAAGCGTCGTCGAAGATTGTAACGGCAGCTGTCGGTCATCTGTTGATTCTTGATACGGAGACGCGCGAGTTGTCGGGCTTCTTCGGCGCGTTGAAGGTACTCACTCACATCGAGGTTTTCTTCGTCGGTGACGTTGGGTAACATGGCATCGAGCGTCGTTGCCGGGCTCCTTCCGTAGACCAATTTGTATGGAGATATCTGTGTCGTCTCCTGCACCGCCGTGTTGTATGCGAAGGTCACGTACAGAAGAATGGCGTCCCACGTCTTGTGTTCGACATCGACGTACATTGCCAGCATGTCGGCAATCGTCTTGTTAAGCCGCTCGGTGAGGCCGTTGGTCTGTGGGTGGTATGCCAAGATCGCTTGAGTTAAGTCGGCAGTAAATGCCGTTCCTCTGTCGGTGATAAGGACCTCCGGGGCGCCGTGACGTAGGACGATATTTTCGACGAAGAACTTAGCTACCTCGGATGCACTGCCTTTGGGAAGGGCTTTTGTCTCGGCGTAGCAGGTGAGGTAGTCGGTAGCTACCATGATCCACTTGTTTCCGAAAGCCGACGTCGGGAATGGCCCCAGTAGGTCAATATCAATCTGCTGGAAAGGTCGGCAAGGTGGTTCAATTGACTGCAGAAAACCCGCTGGCCTTGTCGGCGGTGTCTTGCGTCGCTGACAGTCCCTGCATGTCCTCACATAACGAGTGACGTCGGTGGTAAGAAGTGGCCAGTAGTACCTTTCTTGTATCCTCGCGAGCGTGCGAGAAACACCGAAGTGCCCTGCCGTCGTATCGTCGTGCAGGGTCTGCAGGAGTTCTGGTCGCAGAGCTGAAGGCACCACAAGGAAGTACTTAGCTCGGAGCGGTGAAAAGTTTTTCGTTTGTCGAAGACCGTTTCGCAGGAAGAACGACGCAAGTGCGCGCTTGAATACCTTCAGGACTTCGGTTCTGCCTTCAAGGTATTCTATTAGGGCCTTAAGTTCCGGGTCGGCCCGCTGTCGTTCAGCGAAGTCGTCGGTAGTTATCGTTCCCGAGAAGTGGTTGTCATCCAAGTCGTCGGGTGGTGCTTGGTCGACAGGCGCATGAGAGACACAGTCGGCGTCAGAGTGTTTGTTGCCGGACTTGTAAATGACAGTAATGTCATATTCTTGAAGTCTCAGGCTCCATCGTGCGAGGCGACCTGAAGGGTCTTTCAAGGTGGCTAGCCAACACAAGGCGTGGTGGTCGCTCACAACTTTGAAGGGCCTGCCGTAGAAGTAGGGGAGAAATTTCGACGTAGCCCAGATGATGGCGAGGCACTCCTTTTCTGTTGTGGAATAATTTGCTTCTGCTTTAGATAGCGATCGGATGGCGTAACTAGTAACCCATTCAAGTCCGTCAGCCTTCTGCACAAGAACTGCGTGAGTGTGTGTTTCTGTCTCTGCGAATTCGTCGAAATGGGCAAGTAACGGAGGCGTCTGTAGGCGATGTTTAAGCTCCTGGAAAGCGTGTGCCTGCGGCGTTTCCCACTCGAACTCCACGTCGGCCTTGGTAAGGTTAGTGAGAGGATTGGCGATGCGGGGGAAGTTTTTCACGAACTGCCTATAATAGGCGCACAAGCCCAGAAATTGGCGCACCGCCTTCTTGTCAGTGGGCAGTGGGAAGTCGGCGATGGCGGCTGTTTTCCGTGGATCGGGACAAACTCCAGACTTGCTAATAACGTGCCCCATAAACAAGAGCTCCTCGTACTCAAATCTGCACTTTTCTGGCTTCAGTGTGAGTCCGGACGTCTTGATGGCTTGAAGTACAGCTTCAAGGCGCCGAAGATGCTCGTCGAAACTCGAGGAAAACACGACGACGTCATCCAAGTACACAAGGCAAGTCTGCCACTTCATTCCTGCCAGTACTGTATCCATAACGCGTTGAAAAGTTGCAGGCGCTGAGCAAATACCAAAGGACATCACCTTCAACTCGAAGAGGCCGTCCGGTGTTATAAATGCCGTCTTCTCTCGGTCTAGTTCGTCGACTTCGATTTGCCAATAGCCAGTCTTGGGGTCCATTGACGAATAGTACTTGCCGTTATGGAGCCGATCAAGTGCGTCGTCTATTCGTGGGAGAGGATACACATCCTTTCTTGTGATTTTGTTCAGGCGGTGATAATCGACGCAGAAACGTAGGGTCCCATTCTTTTTCTTCACTAACACCATGGGGGATGCCCATGGACTCTTGGACGGCTGGATAATGTCATCCCGCAGCATTTCATCAACTTGTCTCCTTATGGCCTCTCGTTCTCGCGTCGAAACACTGTACGGACTCTGACGGAGTGGTCTGGCATTTTCTTCGGTTATGATGCGATGTTTCGTGATTGGAATCTGCCAAATTTTCGATGACGATGAAAAGCAATCTTCGTATTGCAGGAGCAGGGCCTTGAGCTGTTCTTGCTTATGGTTCGGAAGTCTGGGATTGACATCGAAAGCTATGGGAGGGGCTTGGTTTCTCTGAGCAGGTTCCGCAGAATCGGCAAGGGCAAAAGCACTGGTGGCTTCGACAATTTCTTCGATGTATGCGACCATTGTTCCTTTGTTCACATGTTTGTACTCATTGCTGAAATTCGTGAGCATAACCGTTGCTCTGCCTCCCCGCAGCTCCGCAATTCTTCTTGCGACGCAAATATTTTATG